TTAAACTACGAACCATGGAAGTTTGTAGCACAGCATCTTCGTATGCATTTATTTACCTGAAAGCTATTTATTTTCCCCACATGGTTTAATAAGAAACTTATTGCATATGTATATAAGCAAACTCATATGAGAGGGCTTCAAAAAATTTGTGGATAAATGGAATGAAAAGATATTGGAATTTTTCCACAAACTTTTTGAAGCCCCCTTACATATCAGTTTATATTTTTGGATTAATTGATGTTCTGGTAAGTAGTGGTTATGAATCGGGCTGCTAATCTCACGGTCAGTAGTTCAAAATCACCAGATGTTCTGCAGGAGAAAGATAAGGCTTTCTGCTCCTGTAAAGATTTACAGCCTCGGAATCCCTGTACAGGAGTGCTATGAGTCAGAACTGACTCCATGGCACATAAGAAAAACAAATATATGGGCTCTTGGTGTGGCACTGTAGGGTTAGCTCTGGACTGTGAACCACAAGGTTGGCAGTTCAAACCCACCAACTGCTACTCGGAAACTCTATATAGGGTCACTATGAATTGGCACTATCTCAACCTCACTAAACAATAACAACATCAACAATAACAAATATATATATATATAGCTTCTACTATTTGACTCTGCTGTGAGGGAAAGGAAGAATCTTTTATTTTGTAATTTGTTAAAATTAATAGAGCAATATCAGCCTTTTAGTTTTTCCCAATTGGTGAGTTCACAGTGTCCTTTTATCTTGACAACAGTTCCCTGTGTAGGTTTTATGTGCTAATAATTTATTCAGAACATTTGAAATGCTGTTTCTTTTAAAAATCAGGTCACTGGAGAACACTGAAATCAGACAAGGCATTAAAGCAAATTTAATGAAACTTTCAACAAATGAAACTGGCAGGACATGAGGCTTTGCAGCAGGAACAGTAGTTCAAACTGCTTATTAAGATCATCTCCCACTGAGCGCACTTTACCTCTTACGTAGGTGTCTGTGTTCTCCACTATCTTGTTGGTGTAAGGCACTTTTAACACATTCTGTTCTGCCTCACACAGAGGAAAAAGAGGACAATCCAAACAGGAAAAATACTTAAATATATATATATATATATATGTAGTCCTAAGGAGCTCTGGTAGCGTAGTGGTTACGAATCGGGCTGCGAATCTTAAGGCCAGCGGTTCGAAACTACCAGCCGCTCCGCGGGAGAAAGATGAGGCTTTCTACTCCTGTAAAGATTTACACCCTCGGAAACCCTGTACAGGGTCGCTGTGGGTCGGAACCGACTCGATGGCACTTAACAACAACAACATATGTAGTCATATTTTTATATAAATAGCAGAACCTATTAAATTTGTTCTGGGGTGGCTCTGTGGGTTAATGTGCTAGACTGCAAAGTCTGCTTGAACCACTAAGTCAGTGGATCAAGCTCACCAGCCGCTCCTGGGAAACTCTACACAGGCCAATATGGGTCAGAACCGAGTCAACAGCATTTAACAACAATAACAAATTAACTTCGTCTAACATTTTTAATGTTGTTCCAAACAAGTAAGATAGGAAGCAGTGTTCTGCACACACAATGGGTGTTCTGTGCAGATCAGCATCCAACATACACAATAAGACTATATAGTCTTTGTTGTTGTCGTTGTTAGGTGCCATCACGTCAGTTCTAACTCGTAGCAGCCCTATGCACAACAGAAAGAAACATTGTCCAGTTCTGCGCCATCCTCACAATTATTGCTCTTTGAGCCCATTGCTGCTGCTACTGCGACAGTCCACCTCGTTGGAGGTCCTTCTCTTTTTCATTGACCTTCCGCTTTACCAGGCATGAAGTCCTTCTCCAGGAACTGGTCCCTCTGATAATATGTCTGAAGAATTAGAGACAAAGTCTCACCATCCTGGCTTCTAAGGAGCATTCTGGCTGTACTTCTTCCAACACCAATTTGTTTATTCTTCTAACAGTCCAGGGTACTTTTAATAATTTTCTCCAACACCATAATTCAAATGCATCAATTCTTTTATGGTCTTCCTTATTTGCTGCCCGACTTTCACATGCATATGAGGCTACTGAAAATACCATGGCTTGGGTCCGGCATACCCTAGTCCTCAAACTGACGTCTTTGCTCTTCAAGAGGTCTTGTGCAGCAGATTAGCCTAATGCAATATGCTGTCTGATTTCTTGACTGCTGTTTCAATGAGTGTTGATAGTGGATCCAAGCAAAATGAAGTCTTTGACAACTCAGTCTTTTTTCCATTTATCTAGTTGTGAGGATTTTTGCTTTCTTAACATCAAGGTCCAACCCATATTGAAGACTGTGGTCTTTGATCTTCATCACTAAGTATTTTAAGTCCTCTTCCCTTTCAGCAAACAAGTTTGTGTCATCTGCATACTGAAGTTGTTAATGAGTCTTCTGCCAATCCCTATGCCATTTTCTTTTTCCTATAAGCCAGCTTCTCTGATTATTTGCTCAGTATACAGATTGAATAATACAAACCTGGCGCATAACTTTGTTGCCAAGTTTTCTTCCACAAAGGCAGGATTAAAAACATAGGGTTCATAAAAGTCAACCCATGGAAAACTGAAACCATAAGGTTGGGAAATATTTTATAGAGAATATACATTAGAAAACATATTCCTACATAAACATCAAGATTAGACCCTTGGACTGTTTTCAATTTTACCTGACAGTCAACCTGAGCACATTGACCAGAGACTTGTCCATGCTTTGGCCCAGAGAGCTGTTTCTTCCTCCCTGTATTGCATTTACACTGCTGCTGTCTCTAATACCACCCCATCATCCCACCATCAAGACCGTTCTTGGGGTCAGCTGCCAGTCTTTCCTTATTCCATTCTTTAACTGTCAAAAGAAGGGTTACTGATTTAGTACTTGTGAATGGTGGCTGTTTCTTCATTGGGCTAATATTTAGCCTTCTAAGATACAGAAGGCTGAGGTGGTAAAAGTAGGAGAGAGCTATACTACATTTACAAGAATTTTGAACATTTTTATTTATGTCCCATGGGTTTATCTATAGAACTGAAATGCTCAGTTACAAAAATGACCCTAGCAACACCCCAAGCCCACATGACCATCTTTAAGGAAATGCCATCTCAGGCACTGATGTATTCACAAAATTAAACTTTTTAGGCTCTGTGACTTGATGGAGAAGTATTAATTTTATTATAAGTAATAATATTTTTGTTATTAGTAGTAATAGTAATAGAGGCTAACACTTCTGGAACTTTGTGTTTTATATGAATTTTCTCCTATAATCTTCATGAAAACCTGATGATTATTATTCCCATTTGCAGATGGTAAATTTGAGGCTTACAAAAATTGCTTTTGAAGACTGATTTCCTAAGGCTGTCATTGTTAATTACGGGAGATGAGAACCATGTGTAAGACTTTCTGTGCTAATGTTATGACATTTCTGAGCAAAAGTTGTATTGAGGTTGGGTGTAAATCTGCTGGTTCAGCATTACTCAATACCTTAGAATGTGAATCAGTCTGATATCAAGCATATCTAATATCAGGAGAGTTGGGGACTCACAATGTACATTAACATATAAATGGCTCCAAGAAGGCTTGTCAAACAGAAACTTGTTTAATTTGTTTTGCTAAGTATTTTCCAAGGCAAAACAGTGAAAGGCCTCCAGAGACATTATGACATCGTAAACATTTTGTTAATATGGAATAACTGATCCTTATTTTATGGTTGACATATTTACTTAAATTTTGAAGTAAGACGTCTTCCAGAATATGCTGATAGTGTGGAAGCATATATGGATTTTCCATATACGTCTCTTCATTAGGAGAAAACCTCTTTTTATTTATTCTTTAGATTCTTTCTCAAACACTATAAAACCAGTATATGAAATGACCAATAGTTTGCTGTACTGTGGGGGTGTCACTATAAAGTGTTTATTTTTGAAGGTAAGGCAGAACTGACAACTTCCTGTGTTTTCTATTTAGTCTGAACAATATATCTAACGTATTCATATCTGGTTTCCTTTGTTCCCTTGACATACAAAACAAGTTAACATTATTTATTTGCATATTTTGTATGCCCAGCTTCCAAGAAGAATCTGAAATAACAAATAAAAACCATCATAGCACCCTACCCACTGCATTGTTACATATTTGTTTGTGCTTTTAATAAAAATATGACCAATTTAAAAAATAATAGCTATATGTT